AGTGCCGCGGACAAAGGGTTTCCTAAATGCGTTGAGCAGAAGTTATCCCTAGTGCGGCCAGCAATATGTTTCCAAAGTGTGGCGAGCAAAATATTTTTCTAATTGTGTCGAGCAAAGTGTTTTTAGGTGCGTCGAGCAAATTATTTCCTTTTCAAGTGCGGCGAGCAAAGTATTTTCTCAGTTTGGCGAGCAAAGTATATCCTAATTGCGACAAGCAAAGTATTTCATAAGTACGGTGAGCACGGTATTTTCCTAGTGCGACAGGCAAAGTGTTTCCTAAGACCTGCATGATTAACGACCACATTTCAAACATATTATGAACTCAGTGTTTGTCTATTAATTACAAACTGAAATAAGATTATACAAAGGATTCGCAATGGATTTACAATGCAGCTATAGGAAATCTTTAAACCAAGATAATTACATTTTGTGGAACGATTGATTATCTTAAATGACATCTGAAAACAATTTCCTGCTCTCTTGCATACTAGTTAAGACACGTCTTAAAGGACAATACACGAGACTTTTGATTTAACCGTTTGCATACTTATTTTTTTCTGATTTTGCAACTGCTAGAGCATGACACCATAATGCAGTTTCCATTTTGTTAAAGTAAAACATATCAACGGAAACATAATCTTTTGTTCTATGATATATGTCTCCCTTGGACCTCATTAATGTTGTTTGGTATTACATCGCACCATGGTGATGTTGTAAATTATTCGACAATACGGATTTCCATGAAACAATAATTTAAAATGATGTTGGTATTGCATCCGTTGCTTCCATTAGCATAAGATTCGATCTTTCCTGTAACAACGACCTAGAACATTGTGAAACATAGTAATATACATTTTTATTGACTGAAAATTGTAGCGCAAATTATCTATTTAGGAATAATTTTTATTCAGATACGCAATTTAATTAAGAGAAGTTTTTGTATTCTCGTTCAACAGGATAAAGTACAATTTTCCTTTTTTAATCTATAACCTTATACATTTGTGACACGTTATTGTTGTGTGTGCATGTTTCTGGTGGTCCATTTAGTTCATTCTATTTGATCTCTTTTTTTAGTTCGGTGGTTCTAGTAATTCCAGATAAATACTGTATAATTACCCTTGGGATATGTGCTTGTTTTTAAATATGTCTTTTGACGTTTTATCTCTGACAGGTTTCTAAACCTCTGATCCCCTTTCAAAAATCCATTTAATCCTGTTCCGCCACACATTTCTTTTCAGTTTGGGACCATACGCCGCTTATCAAGAGATGGCACGAATGTGTCACATTAACGGTCCCACAATAAACGCCGTATGGACACATCTGCGGCTGATTCTAAATTCGAGATTTCACCTTTTTCGTGTTTAAATATTGAAAGCTTAAGCCGGTGCTAGGAAGCGTGGATCGTAGCTTGCAGTTAACACTACCGTCCAATAACAGGCTAATTCAAATGGAGCCTGCAACATTTTCAATATTTGGCGTTTTTTTGTTTTGTTAACGTTGTTGTAATGTAACATTTGATTTTTATTTAAATACAGCATAACTTTACTGACTGTTATTTCTATAATTATTTAACTTCTGTTAAATCTCTTAATAATGTTAAAGGCTAGGTTAGGCAGTCAGTGTACATGTATGAAGTGATGAAACTCTAATCCACAGTGACCAGACTCTAGGCAACATTGATCAGACTCTTATTCAAAGTTACAAGACTCTTGTCCTAAGTGATCAGACTCAAATTCTCAGTGGTCAAACTCTAGGCAACAGTGATAAGACTTTTACCCAAAGTTACCAAACTATAGTTCTCAATGACAAGACTCTACTGGTATGCGAGCAGTTCCCGTACAGAAGCAGTATCCGTATTTTTCATTTAAACGCTTGATTTTTACTTGAATTCTTCAAAAAATCATTTCAAATCAACCAGATGCATAAACGAGACAAAATTTGAGTGTCAGTTCGGCAGTACGTATAAAAAGTCTCATTTTAAATCACTTTCACCTGTGCGTTGTCAAAACGTGACCTTGTTTTCTCTGGGGGATTCTGTCCTTGCGCGCATGCGCAAAAATACTGACACGTGAGGCCTGTTAAAGGGTTTTCCGATGATACCACCTGTTTACAGATAAGTAGGCAATGTGATGAAAACTTCTTTAATTATCAGAATTTTGGCCAATATTACAATATTAAATAATTTTATGGCTTTGATGCGTAAAATATCATGCATACAAGCATGCTATTGCATGTGAATGCGTTGGGGTAACGGTACCGGGTAATAGATACCAGCGTTTAGTCTACGCTCTATTTCCTGAATTACATCTAGTTATCTCTTAGAAAATGCTCTGTTCAATAATAATAAATGAAAAATAGGTCCGATATAACAAACTTGTATAATTATAATGGGTTAAATTTTATGTACGGGAACTACTTCTCTTCAAACAAAAAATTGATAATTTCGGTACCCCATATGAGGCCTCATAATTAAGGGTTGTTCTATGTTTAGAACATCATGGAATTTCCATTATTTGTGTGACGAGCTGAATATTGATGTGTAACATTCAAATTGTGGTGAGTGAGCGTAATAAAAAATAATGTTTAAGTCACTACGATTTTTGTACGGGAACTGCTCGCATGCCAGTAGTCAACAGTTAGCAGATTCCAGTCAATAGTGATAAGACTGTAAACCACAGTGATCAGACTATAGTGCTCAGTGACCAGAGTAATCCTCAGACTCTCGGCAACAGTCACTCTTATCCAAAGTTACTAGACTCTAATCCACAGTGATCAGACTCTAGTGAATCGAGGTAGGATGTCAGAAGGCACCAGTGTTTAGTCTTACAGAAGCACTGATGACGAAACACTGAACTCTGTAACATTTTATCATTGATCAACTGTCTTTTTTATACAATTTTGTTATTGCAAGCTAATCTAACATGTATAACATATTATTCATATATTCGTATCTGTGACGTTTATCATGAATTATTTAAGACATACGGATTGGTGACTGTATAGACTAAGATAATTATTTGCTTTTGAAACGGATACGCTTACGCATTCAAGTATTACTGTATTTTTGAGATTATGTTGTGGTCTCTATTAAAACCTTCTACATATTTGCATATTTTAAACTGCATTATCTTGGTAAGTTTTGTGATATAATATAGACACTGTAAAAAATGAGACATGATAAATGGCCAAACTTTTGATCAAGTAGAGGATAAAAACGCCTGGCGCTTGAGCTATATTTCCATGATGAGTGTAAGCTTCCTCTTATAGCAAGTGCAGACCAAAATCTGTCGGTATGTTCGTGTCGTGTGATCATAGTCTGCACTGTTCGTTATTCAGTCAGTACCTTTTTTAAATGTTGACGGATTTGTCCGAATCGAAAGGTTGACAAGTCCATTTAAGGTATTTAGCGTTGGAAGGTTTAAAATGGTACATACATTGTAATCATTTTTATATAAAAAATGCCCTAATACAGTTTCGGAAACATTTTGTTTCATACAAATATAGTTCGTTCAAATAAAGTTCATTCAAATGTAGATCATTTTGTTTCTTACAATATATATTTTAAATTGTTAATAAACCGTTTCCGTGTCAATTGATAGTTAGAACATTGTTTTTTATAAGTTTGCCTTGCTAAGAATATCTGTATAATTATTATTCAGTTTTATTAAAATGCATGATTTAAGCTTTTTTGACTATATTACTAGAAATTACATAAGAGTTGCCTCAAACAATTAAACCTAAAGCTGTAAAGCTTCACAATGGTCCCCGTTTAATGATGCGATTTTTGCGACTCTCGTGTGTTCTGTCTGCAGTCGGTCCTTCTGTTATTTAATTAACAATCCAAGCAGGCTTCTCTAAAGAAAAACAGTTTCAAAAGGTGAATTCTTACATATGATTTTATTATAAAAGGATGCGCTAGCCTAAGGATAAGATTATGTGGATGATTAGACACAATTATTGTTAGTTGCAATTATAAAATAAGCAATATTTTAGACTCAGTAAAACAATTAACATTGGACTCTTCTGTTTTATATCTTCGTTTTGAATGATAGATAAATCCAAGCAACGTAAGAAATGTGAAAAATCAAGGCATTTTCCTTGAACAATCAATTTTCCGTGCCGAAAGCGATAGAAACAATTGGTGTTTTCAGACATTGATGAATGTACTGGTGTGGATGAAACTGTAATTAATTGAGTTGAGATAGAGGAACGAGTATCCAGGAATTGCAATAAGATTCCAATTATCACTATTATTCATTGTTTCAGGACAGGTTGTTTGTGTTTTGATGGAGGAGTTTAGATAGCGGAGACAAGTTCTTCAGACTTAAACTTAATACTACCAGAACACACATAAATAACTTTACTGTTTCTAACAATTTTTATTGCAGAAGAATTGCGGTTCTGAGGGCATCATTCTGAAAGTCTCCAACCCCCATATAAATTAATATTTTATCTCTATTTTACCATTGATATTAGATAACATTACATAACTCCTGAGTATCATATACATGTTTTTATCTTATGCACTAAATATATCATAACACCCTAGAGTTATTCAGACATTAAAATACTTAAAATTTAATTACGAAAGTCTGACTTTTACAACTGGATAGAATATATATTAATAATTTTTAAACTCTTCTAAATGAATGAATTACGATCACATGATGTTTTTTTGTTTGTTTTTTTGTTTTTTCGTTTTGTTTTTTTTAAATAACGTCTGTTTATACAATAATTACATATCAATATATGCTTGGAACTTCCATAACTACTTCAAGTCTTACTTTAATATGTGTTGCCTGCCAAAATATTCCTCGACATAACACGATAATTGTCAATTTGTGTAAAGAGCTGTATCGTGACTAGCGAGCATTTGTGGTAAGATTGGTTAAAGTAACGGAAATTGATAACTTAATTTATTTCAATTACAATGTGAAAATATAAAAGAAGCAACTTTCATTGAAAACGAATAAAGACTTTTATTTAAGAGATAACAAAGAAAAATATATTTTCACAGTCATTCTATACAGTAATTATGGCATGTTTATGAATCAGAGCATATATGTAATAAAATTATCAATATTTCTTTTTCGTATTAATTTTATAGTGGTCATGATTAAAGATTACAAAATGTATACAGATATAAAGTTCTGTCATACATTTGATATGACAAATAGCATGAAACACACGGAATAAAGCAATATTAAACATATGCATAATGTCCATTTTCTTCATCGCAATAATATCAACTGTTAAACAATACATCCATAAATTGTTAAGCAAGACTTTGTCCTCTGAATTAAAAAATGAACTGAAAATTTATTTTCAACTATCTCAGTTTTATTTCAAATCAAGAATTGACAACTGATGGTAAAAATTCTTTCAGCTCATACGAACGTCTAACATAGCCTTGGATGAATGGAATGGAGCAATACATTTCACAAGAAACACTGACAGAGTTAACGCTTGGAACAGTTGAAGTCATCTTTAGACATCGGCATCCTGGGATCATGTATTGACGGTGCATTCAGAAATATCCCGATTGTACCACATATACATGCCGTTGTAAAAATAAACAGAAACAGTCTATCCATAACCATGGCAACGTAATTCCAGTCTCTTTCAATCTGAAACGTAATCAAATTTAACATTAATATATATTTTATCTGACTGAGCTGATTTTTGTTTGTCACCAAAATTCAGAAAGACAAGAGTTTCTATCAGTCTCAGATTTATACATTGTAGTTATTAGATTAATAATGCAATAAAAAAGGAGAAAATATTATTTGTTGGTAATAAAACCAGCAAGTTACTACTAAACCGTACAATAGCTATATTATAAGAAACATAAATTTTGCTCCCCAACAACATTATATGTGAATGCACATTGTAATACATATATGGAACTGTTGTATGAATGCAATAATTCCTTGATCTAATTCGCAACATAGTGACTTTACCGGCAAGGAAGGAATACATGTACAAATTTATGGTTGTTGATTTCTACCATTTCGTAATTTCGTGTCTTCGCCCCTCAAAAGCCGAAGAAACGATACTATGGTCACTAATCGTGTCTTCGTCTTCGACATTTGGAAGCGCCAAAACATAGACACGTTACATTTCAGGCAAAAAAACGATATTTTGATTATACAAACTTCAGGGGCGAAGACATGACGACATGAAACGGCAGAAATCAGCCATCATACTGATTTATTTCTTTGTATAAGTGTTGCATATCAAAATGACTGGCGTTATAGCGGTCATCCGTTTACTCAAAATACAGTTACATATACATGTATGGGTCCTATTATCGTAATAATAGTGTTTTACACGGAGAAGGTATTGAAAATTGAAAATTTTATACTCAATTTTACCGATTTATCAAGGTCTTCCGACTTCAGATGTTCTGCTATGTATGTGACACCTTTTAATGACGCTCTGATTTCTTCCGGATAACCAACTAAGACTTGTTTATATGCCGGCGCCATTCGCCGTCGTAAATTAGCATAATTCGGTTGTTGTGTCATCTCATCGTTAACCTCGTCGTCAAGAAGATTTGTTGTTACTTCTAAAGGTTCTTTTGGCGGTCGTTTCTCTTGTACAGGCCGCTTCATACAAAGTATTTTCGGGAGAATTTCTGTAAATACGCGCTTTATCCACGGTGACATGTTATGTGTCGCCTGTGACCGGAAGTGAACGCTTAATGTATAAACTGTCAAGAATATAGACATAGTGACCACTATCATCGTAAAAAGTAGATATTTTCCTATTAGTGGTATAACAATGGATGTCGGCGGGTTTATGTCTGATAAAAGCAAGAAGAACACAGTCAATGCAAGCAGAATAGATATGGATAGAGTGATTTTTTCACCAGAGTCACTTGGTAAATAAAACACAAGTACTGTAAGTGTCGATATAGCAATTATTGGCATTATTAAATTGATTGTGTAGAATAAAGTCTTTCGGCGTATTGTTATATTAAATGTGATATCCGGATATGGACTTCCTGGGCAACAGGGGTAGAATTTCTCCTTCCGTTTTGCTGTTACGTTGATAATGTCCCATTCAACATTTTGGTTATATTCACATAAATCTATTCCATTAGGATATATTGTAAACGTTTCAATGTGAATACCTGTATCCTCTTTGATGTGCCGTAGATCAATCTAAAATATATAGATATATATATCAGAATAAAACAGCAACCCAAATAATTTGTAAACTATTATTTAAGGTCAATATATGATAGCAACAATGATAATAATTGATGCTCTTGCAAATCGACAGAAAATGAAAGAGAATTTAAATCAAAATGAAGACAAAACAATTGTCTCGACTTATAAATGATTATATATAGATTGTGGTCCGTAGATTTATTATTCTCTCGTAGTAGTCAAATAACAGGCAAAGTGTCATATGGTAATGAAATAGACAAGTATTCATTTAAGATTAATTGTTCTCTTTTTTTCTAGAAAAATAAGTTTCACTAACAATGCAGTATCTAAAAATCACATTAAATTTTATCATATTCTAGAATAACTAAATGAGAGTATTTATTAGATACATATTTTAATATATTATGTCAATTTCGATTTCATAAACTATTTTAGATCAAACACAATTTTACATTTGAAAGCAAGTCTGTCTGAAATAGAGTGAAACTATACTTACTGAATGTCCATCATGTGTCCATGAGCTGAACTTCATAAAACATTCTTGCTGGTCGAATGGGAAGAACTCTACATTAATTGGACAGTAACTTTTGTAAATAGCTGGAGGTTCCCATACAACACGACCGTTACTGAATACGGTCGCCTTGGTTAACAACGTTACGTTGAAGTCTCCGTCCGCACTAAAAGGTTAGAGAGTTGATATTGAAATAACTGAGATATAAAACAATTTTAAGATGTAAATCACTAATAACAGACTATAAAATCTAAATTTATTTCATCAACTGCTTGTTATTTACATGTATGTACAGTAATAAACAATTCACAACTATTACCATGGTTGCAACGTTTGTTCACAGAATGTAACACGTGATTATTAGTATTAATCATTTTAAGGCCTGTAGGAACAATATGAAAAAGTAGAAGTTTTTAAAACAAGCAATCATTCTGTATTGTTCTGCATACTTATACAGTTTGAAAGTCAGACAGTAAATTATTTTCCATTTTGTTCATTTGCTTACTAAGATAGTACACAAGTTAAAGTTTTGAAAGTCGAAATTTAATTCATTTCCTAATTTTGATCAAAGAAATGCATATCTTAATTTCTTAAGAGATTAAGTAACTACTGCATTGTGTATTTGTGAGTATTAATCTAAGAACAACATACTTGTTATAGAGAATGATGTCCGGTCTCCATAAGTCGTCAGAAGGAAAATGTGTATAATTAAGACCGCCAAAATTATCAGGGTCCCATTTTAATCTGGAATCTCTCCATTCCTGAAAAACAAATTTACTTTTACTCGTAAAAATGTTTAAATTTTTAAACAAACTATTATATATATGTGTGTTAATGAGTTATGTAATCATGACATGACGAGTCCTTTGATTTCTATAAATATAACCTCTGTCAACTTCACCAGGAAATAGATGTATTGACTCAGTGGCTTAACTTGTTTGAAATTCGGTGTTCGTGAGTTCGAATCTTATTCAAAGTGGGAGTTCTGGTGCATTAGCATGCTCGTGTGGTAAAATTATTTTAAATACTGTAAAAGGAACCACTTCAAAAATGACCGGATTGGTAGAGCTGCTTGCACAAAAAGATAATAGCTGCTCTGAGCTCGAGTCCCATGTACGTATTTAGCCGAGTTCGAGTCCCATGTATTAAGGCGAAGCAAACGACTGACCGTGTTGTTGTGTGTATGAATCCTAAACATTGCCATCTTATATCTTTTGAATTATCTCGCAATAAATCACATAATTATTATGATCACTAGTATACGACATATTATATTTTCTCTTGATATCGAAAACGGTCATTTTATAAATAAACAAACAATAACAAATGGAAAATGATATGTATAAAATGACGTTTTCTCATTAAAACATTGTCCAGGATCAACTTACATGTCTAAGCCAAATGTTTGTGGTTACTATCTGATTCTTCTCGGACTGAAAAAAAAAAAAATAAAACATTAGCAATTAGTGACGTGGTTATATAATACAAGCGACTTGGTTATATAATACAACACACAGAGCCTCGTTTCCTCCGTAAATAGTAACGACCGAGTTAGATATCCCCGTCTTTGACAACAGCCGGTATTTGATTACATTTGTTTGCATATTATACTTTTATATCATGGTTTGGGTACCTGTATGTTGAAAATGTGTCAGAGTTAAATCGTATACATATACATGCACAGTGCGTTAAGTGGAGTGCATGTATTAGTTACCCGTACTCCAGAGCATGCCCATTGATTGGCTCATTTTTGCTGGGGTTTACTTATTGTGACGGAAGAGAAAGGGAAAGCGACAGAAATATCATATTCAGATGCTCGTTCATTGGTCACTTTTTCCCGGGGTTTCATATTGTGACAACAGGGAACGTGTTTTTATGTTTGACTATGAAAAAAGAGAAAGAGCATCAAAACACTCGGCAATCTGATTAATACTCAGGGGCTACGCCCCCTCGTACAAATCAGATAGCCTCGTGTTTCGATGCTTTTTCTATTACTTGAAAGAAATAACATAAAATAATATTTTCATTTACATATTTTTCTCAAAGAAGCATATGAATTTACGACACATATAAATGATGTAATTCATTCAAAAGGTGCGCTGAATTACGTCATTTACAGCAAAGCAGGTGGGGTTGGGGTGTATGATAGGTGTTAACAGCAGATTATCCTCTCTAGTATGCAAGAATATTTTTCTTTAATATGCAATTTTTATTAAAACAACTTACTAGAAAACAACAATATAAATACATAAATATCACCAGCTTGTGATAACTCCATAAATGAAATAAAATTATATTCATTAGATCTCGCGCAACATTCAGCTTGTTCGTTTTTCGATTTAATAGTCACACATGTAATTCAGTTTTTTTACTTTAATAGCCAACATGTGGTCATAAAAATGAAAAGTAAATAAACATTTAAATGAAGCGTATGTTTATAAATTCTGCACGTGTTTACGAAAACTTGAATCATGCAAGAACGTGGGCGCAAACCTCCGTGCTTCGTATCTAGCTGTAAAATCTTCAGGTGAATATGCCAAGATAAGTGAAATATGAACATCAGCAAAATGTTAATGCTAAATCTACTAATGCGTAACATTTTTTTTCCCGCTACAAATGTGATTGCCAGGAATACTGTGCCTGTAGGCCTTTTGCCAAGTTTTGTATGCTTCAAATTTATGATAACATCTACATGTATGTAAGAAATGTTTACACTTGTTATGTTACGTGGGATTTGTATTTACGAAAAAAAGTATTTTGTTTTCTAATGGATACCGTGTTATTACGTATATACTAGCAGTAACTAAAGAATAAATATAGATGTATATTTCTGTACCTTACAAAAGTATCACGAGAATATATGCAACATTATTTGAGCCGCGCCATGACAAAACCAACATAATGGGTTTGCGACCAGCATCCGCGCAGTCTGATCAGGATCCATGCTGTTCGCTAACCAACTCTTTAACAAGTAGAGAAACTGATAGCAAACAGCATGGATCCTGATCAGACTGCGCGGAAGGGCAGGCTGGTCTGGTCCATGCTGGTCGCAACCCATTATGTTGGTTTTGTCATGACGCGGCTCATTTATGCCTTAGCGTAATACTTATGAGTCATTTTTTTTTAAAACAAAAATGTTTGGAATTGTCAGTTTAAGTATAAAAACATGCTGCTGTATTTATTTAATATTTTGATTAATTGGTGCAATGTCTTGTATCGTTTATTAAGTTTTTAAAACAGATAGACACAGTAACTAAATATAAAACATCATATTCATTCAAATGATTCGTTTCAGTTGAAACTGCTGATAATATTGTACCACAAATGGCGTCTTTAGTTGAACATTATAATGAACCCGTTCTAATTCTTTAAGACATTCTAAAAATAATAACCAATTATTGAAAACCCCATGTCTTCTAAATGGCCAACCACTAATCTCACAGTTCAGCTTTTTTAAGAACACATATCAACTAATGAATATCAATGGCGTCACCTTTAACATCATTGTATGAATTAATCATATTTTACAATAGGTCAAATGCGCCAATCTGGTTCTCTAACATGGGTTAAAATGACTGATGTTTAATGTCATTGTCTAGTGGTGTAGAAACACATCGATCAATAGAATATGGTTTCTGGTAGCAGATTAAATACATTTAACGGTTTTCACGGGATGCTGTTGTTTAAATTGTCCCTTCTAGTAAAGATCAATAAAAGAAAAAACAGAGATATTAAAAATCAGGCATTTATACTGGGAATATAATTTTTTATAAAAGTCTATCAGATATAATCTTTTACAAAATTATATGACAAAAGGAAAACATGTTAAGTATTAAACCGAATAGAATTAAATTTATTTGTTAAGATAAAGCTAAACTGGTTTAAGGAAATTTAAAGCTAATATATCTTTTTGATTGGGATGGAAACTTTTAAAATGTTCATAAATGAAACGAATGAACAGAACTAGTTTTTTTAGTCTTGGCATCAAGCATACAACTTCACATATTAATGTATATGACAAATACAGACATATATGCAGAAAGTACATAGTATTTACATAAAAAAATGATAACTTAGATAAAACCCTATTGTCAAAATAATTCAGCTATAGAAAGCATCAATGAAACTAGGAGACACTCCTTACATTGTGACAAGTCTCGTACGCACGAGATGAGACGTTTCAACAAAGCATTACTGTATCTCATTAAACTTAACCTTCCTTTATATCTTGATCAATGCTAATCAAAGCTGAAATATTTCTTGAAACTTAGATTGATGTTCATTTCCTAAAGTAGAAACATTAATAAGGCACGTAGAATCTTCATTATTTTTTCTGCTACGACCTTTACAGTCAAACCTTTGACAGTCAAATTTGTGTGAAGTACCACAACTGAACAAAGACATTGAATATAAAACCTGACACATTAATAGTCTAGCATTAAGTTGACCGATCAGATGCATACTATTCTAGAGTTACTAATTTATTTAAGAGAAATTGGTCAATAAAGGCAAAGACGGTTCTGACTATGTATCATTTCGCTTGTTGTAAAGATTAAGAATATATATAGAATTGTATCAAAATAGAAATATAATAATCAATTACTTTAAGCATAAAACCACTTTAGGTTAATAATCTATTTTGGTTCTTAAAAATCACTTAATGATTACTTTAATGTTATTTGAAGACAAAGCATTATTTGAAGGTGCAGCACGTTACCTTGAACACAAATAGACAAAAAGCGTCTGGATGATTAAGATTATATCTTCATAAATTGAGGAACATTAGAATTCTAATAAAACTTACAACTAGTAGAATTTGGGACAGACTGATTCCGAGTTTCACTGTAAGAGTATTTACTGTTGTATTTCCACTCGTTGAATTGTCTTCTGCTGTTGTATTAACGACCTTAATGACCCCAGGTGCCCGGATGAGTTTATTGTATCGTTTATCCTGGGAAAAAAAAATCAACAATAGTAATAAAAACAAATATAAAGAAGATAACATCTTTATTATTTCTTTCTTTTAATGTTTAATGTTTATTTTTATTTTCTTAAGTTGATGAGAGAAAAAAAGCAGTTGAGAAAAATAGGTAGAAAACGATGTACCGTGTCTTTTTTAAAAAAAAATAGTATAATAACAATAATATAATGTTTAACGTCAATTAAGCAAAGTCCGTTTTCAAAATATTTCTGTGGCAATTGTAGAAAAGAAAACATATTTTGTATATCAGAATGAATTTCAATCACATTATTATTTTTATTACACTAAAATATTGTTATATGTTATAAACTTATCATTATAATTTTACAGTGCATTCAGTTTTTATTATATGAATTATGACTAAATCCATCCTTATAGACCTGTTACCATCAAATCATAGAGGTAATTGAATGCAAGTAAAATCTTTACTTAAAAGCAAATATTTTAGAAAATATGATTTTTTTTATTTTATTTTAACTATAAGATTAAAGACTTCTATACTGAAAATTTACGATGTTGAAAATGCATTGGTTGAAAACAAATTTATCAATTAATTGTCAGCACAATAATGTTTAAGTAAATTAGTTCTGAAAAGAAAGAACAGAGAAAATGCTTGCATTTGAAAAATGTATCAAATTTGTCGCGCTTTTCTTTTGTATGCATGGTTTTCGTAGGTAAAATTGTACAATTATGTGGCAAAAAAATATTTTGATCCATAAGGACTCTTCCCCATTTTCATGAGCTGGCACAAAGCATTGTTTATAAGCAATGACATGTGCAATATGATGAATATAAAATGAGTTTATGTCCGTCTATATTATAGCTTATATTCCTGGAGCAATAAAAAAGACAGCTTGCAGATATGAGTCATAAAATTCGGTATTAACATAACGATATGCATGAAATCTATGATTTTCAGATATATGACGTTGTTTTACTCATGCACCGTCTGTTGGTATGTTTTATGAAAACTTATGTCATGTATTATCATAGGTAACAACGTGACTAATGACTACACGCATTCTTCGTCGGATATATAATTATACATGTATGACGAAATCCATTATAAGTACATAATTTGCCGGTTACATACAGGTATTTATGCTTCATATCTAGCGAATTTATGTTGCACGTAGATGATATTTTATCTGTTTTATAATATATCTGTTTAAAATGGTATAACTGACAAACAAAAAACAGTTATACACTGATCACATATATAAGCTACACATACATGTACATATACTAAAACATTATCATCCTAAATAATAGATGTATGTACTCACCTGCATTATATAATGATGTAAACGTTGTTCATTTGATATCAAATGTATATGTACCCCTGTGACTCCGACAAACACACACATCAACATCCAACCACCTAACATGTTTCTCCTATCTAATAAACAGACCTTTGATTATTTTTTCACACTGTCAAACACAGCACTCGGGAATATTTCAAAACGAATTCAATGTCTATCGGATGGTAAAACCTGACATCAGAGCATCCTGACTGTATGCAAATCCGAAATTTTCATCGGATCTGACGAATATTATTATAGATCTTATTAACTGCTATGTGATTACAACTGTTAAACTTTCCGATATCATTGCCAGTCAATATCTTGTCAATGAACACATCTCACATGATTTACTGACATTTCACGAAAAGTAATCCCTGATTCCATAACTTCAACTTATTTCAATAACAAATGTAGAAAACAGAACGGCGCATATAAAACATGAACTGACGATGAAATATGCTGCTTTACCATTATTTTTCTGTGAAGGAATCACTAATAGATACAAACGATCTTTTTTTCTTGAATGAACTGAACATAAGATCCATAAGCATTATCGAGTTAATTAAATCAATGAACTAGCATTTCAAATGTATTTAAAGTAAACACAGATATATTGAAAATGCTTAAGAGAAAGATATATTCAATACATAAAACATATATTCACAGCTGTTACGAAAAAGAAACGAAGTTATCATAATGTATGAGAGGCAACACGTTGTTAAAGGGGAACTGTGGTAACACGGAGAAATATTCTATAAGTTTTTTTCCGTGTATAAATGAATAGTAATATAATGTGTGATTATTTCTAAAATAAGTCTGAACAAAAAGAATAGAGGAAGAAAATCTGGTATCTAATAGGATGATTTCATATCAAAATTTATTTTGTTACAGAAAAAAGGAAAATAATTATATTTAAAATAAATGAATGAGCATTAAACACAAATTCTTTTTAATAAGTCTTTGATATTATTTCACAACAAACATATTTTATTTTTTTTGCTTTTAAGTCCCACTAACCTCGTGTATCGCACGTTTACAGTGTTTACAAACTCCTCATTTGTTTTATTGATTCACAAACGAATTGATACTTCACAGTACGTAGACTTGTTTAAAAAAAGATTTTTTTGGGGGTTTCGAAGTCAGTGCAGTGTTGGGTTAATCGCCTACAGAAATATATGACATCAAAAATAATTTACAAATTAAAATTTTACAGTATGCAATATTTCTTTTACTTTAACTTTTTAACACAGCAGATCGATATCATACTTGCAAAATAAATGCAAGTGGCATTTAAGAAAATAGCCCCCTCCCCCGATAAAAAAACAACAACAAAAAAGTAAATAAAACAAAAGCGTATGTTCTTATTTAATACCTATAGCATATTTGAATATTACATAGACAATCTCAGGTTGTTGAAGAAAGATGCGAACGCTGGAATGCTTACCTGAAGAAGAAAGCCATTACGGATATATCTGAAATATTCGTACCTATTTGAGAGACAATAATTTAAGTGCGGAACTATTATGTTTCGAATAATAACGAGTGAAAACAGATGTTTGCACACTGTGTAAGTTTGTTTGTTTATACGTCTTGTTAAAATGGCCTGAACAAATATATTGGTATCAAAGAGGGAATAAACCGCTGGTGAAAGTGAAAATTCGCACAAATAAATCACCACAGTCTGACAAGAACGGGCAATTAATTGACAAATTATCAAAAGATGAAAGGATGAAACCGTTCGATTAACGTTATCAATCAATATATGAAAACAGCATTTATGTATTATCGTTCAGTAAATGCCAGGAATTATAGCACAGTTATTAAAGACGTCAGGCTGGTGTCGGAAGTATTAGACTGCAATCACATTTGTTATTTTTATGTTAAAATATGATGCACGTCAATTTAACCTGACTTTTACTATATTTTCCCCATTGGTGAAATTTAGTGCTAATTATTTTGAAAAAGTTAAAACTATTCTATAATGAATTTCATATGTTTTATGATACCACAACCAGGCGTATTTTGTGTTCCGAGTTAATTATATTTTTTCTTAATTGCAGCAGTTATGGAAACACATTTTATATTCGGATGCATTCGAGCCAGTTAGTCGGCAAACAATTTTAGTGCAGAATGCTACATCTCGTAATATCGAGTAGAAACAGATGGTGTTTTCAGAAGGTGTCAGTTTGTTTTCTTAATTGCAAAACTTACTTTGAGGAGTTGTTCAATGGACTGAATAAATATATCTGTATCAAAGAGTTCATGAGACTATGTTCATTGTAAAAGCTTTTACAAATAAATCTCAAAGTGTAGGCTTTCTTGAACAATAACAGCTGCTGGCAGAGACTTCTAGTGGAGACGGGACTGGTAAAATATAAACTATTGAGGTAATGAAAGGGAAACAACATTGTTTTTATAATGTTCGATCGGATAATGTTTTACTTCCATTGGTATTGAACATTTGTTTGGTACAACTGTTCATGTACACATTGGATACAATTCACCGAGTATCTTTCAGTACATCTCGCTTTGTCAGAGTTTCGACTTTCACAGCTTTGGCACATTATTATTTCATATAAAACAACTCAATTTAAATAATTAATTGTTTCTCAAGATGCTATTTTGGACAATGAGGCGTGGTCACTACATCATTTTACATTTCATGTTTTATTTCTTTAAAAAAAACCTGTGTGTTTAATTGTAATCACCTACATATTTCCAGTAAATATATCTTTAGTTATCTTTTCTGTAAGCTCCTATCACGCAATCCTTCCTATTTTCTTTTTGTACATAACCATTCAAGTCGGTGTATTTATAGAGTATTTATTTATCAAAATTGGATAGAATTGATGTATAAGAAACACATTAAACGGACAACACACAAAAGTAACATAAATCACGTGGAAATACACTTTACATTCTAACTCTGTTTGAAAATTTCTTGATTTTAATAAAATTAATAAAGCAAGATATTTGATACTACTTGCTATTTACTGAATATACTTAAAGATTCAATTGAATATTTATGTCGTACTTAATGCATGCTTATTGTAACGAATTCCTTTTAAGCCAAACATTTTGTCAATTAGCAAAGTTTGTTCGGACATCTGATATTTTTCTATTACTTTCGTTCTTTGTAGATCAATACCTATCTCAAATAAACGTACAGTTTAGACACAAAAATAACCGAAATTAACTGATATCCGCTATCCAGAACAATAGAATGTCATTTAGTTATCTGTACAAGAAATCTCCCTGTCATTCCAGATCATGTGCCTACTCATGACGAAAGAAAGAACAGTCTTGGTACCATTATCTGTGTGATGGAAAATGATATACAGACAATAGAATATGCATAGCTAGTTGAAACCACATTAATGGCATTGTCGTGTTTTCGCCGTGTGGCAGGACAAAATGTCGAAAGCGAGAAAACACGATAAAGTCTCATTTCCGCGTGGTTCCATACTTTCCCGCCATCATGGCAAATCAGCGAAAACTAAATAAATAGGACTCGTAAGAAGGTCATCATAATTGCTTCTTTATTTCCATATAGGATCAAAAACACGAAGTCATTTTAAAGGTATTTCATGTTTCGCACCTTACATCATTTCAGACGATACCTTTACATAAAATAAACTAGCCACATACGGCAACCTATCATAATTATTATCTATAATCTGTGTTTAGTGTTTAAAATTATTTTTTGTCCAATAGGATTGCAGTATTTCACATGAATTGTAACACATTTACGTTGGTAAATCGCAATTAGTCGTGTATAAAAATAATTTCAAACACTAAAATTGTTAAATTTGGTTGACCGATTTAATTTCGTTAATGTTTACTAATAAACACTAACCTATACATAAATGACAATGATAGTGTATTTAATAGATTTTACTGATAATTTGTGTATAATTTACAAGTCAAAGTTGTTTTTAAAAGTAAAAATACATTATATATTTTATGAAACATTGCGCTATTGCATAACATCAAATTGTATTGGTATAAATAAAACAATATAAAATGTGTAAATGATGATTAATCAGGCATAGAACAAACAGACTCGACTTTGCTGTGAAGAGAAACTAATCAAAAACTTCTTAACTAAATCGTCTGTTGTATAACTAGTGTAGGCTGAGAAATATCTAATTTTGTACATTTTTTATCACTATGTCTGTTTTTTCTAACGATTTAAATCACATGAAAAAGACTTCAGACTTAGCAAATTAGGAATTTATGTTTCTTTGTTAAAATATATTTATAGACGCAAAATTTAATGAACACATCTGGTTAGCGTTCATTAATTGAAATCATTTTTTTCGTAGTTTTTGTAGAGATACTTTTTCAACTGAAACAATTTTTTAAATGTAGTCGGTGGAGATACATGTGTCCCAGAAAAGGGTGTTTATCTTATATTTCATTATACAAAATTTCTTCAAGGTTCCGATTTATTCTAAAGCTTTATCCTTCACTTTTAATGATAATTTAAGGCAGTAAATGGAACGACTGCGTGTACATTAGTATATGAATTTTGAATCCTTAAATTTACTCCAGTGTGCCTTAGTTTTCTGTCTATAATCACATATTATTGCCGTAAAAATAATCAACGGAACAACAAGAAATCTTTATGTTTGTAAACATTTGTAATTATGAATAGACCTATTCTTGTATTCTAGAACAGCTTTCCTTGCAATAAAATGCCGGGAGATTTTCGAAATATAAAGTAGCAATACATATGGATAGATTATGAGATTCAGTAAATTATTCACATCATTATTTTTGAAATCATGGGTCCTTTAAACCTTTAAAATACTTGTTTCTTAATAGGGATTTAAAAACGTTTGAACCAATGGTATCGACTTCTTAAACCATGATAAGCCAACATATTTAATATCAAAACTTTTAAGGTAGAAGGCCGCTAACAAAAAAAAACAAAAACAAAAAAAACGAAAATTTAAACTAGCGGAGAGAAATGTTTTTATTAACATGGCGAATCAGGTTTCCCTCTTTGCATTTATAAAACAAATACTTAACTTTCCAATTATAGACCTTTTGCCTAAAGTATATGTCATGTGACCATTGTTACTTGGTCCGTTAGTATGTTTTCCACATAAAATCATTTACTTAGTCAGAAATCTCAAGACTTTTTTGTTTTACATTTTAATATAGAAACAATTTAATATCATGTAAATACACAAATCACACATATATTCTAAATGCAATCTGTTCACAACAAATATTTCCGCTCATTGTGATACTCACCAGGAATTAATCCATTAAATGCAATACCATTTTAACACTTCTTTCAATATTCAAATACTCCTAGACAACTTTAAAAAAAAGGGTTAACAACACATTGATACAAATGAACTAGTTGCATTATTTTCAGTGTAATTTCCCTGATTCTTAACGTATAACTGTAACAAATATTGTTTAACTTGATACAATTGATATTTACATATTTTATTAAAAATAATACACTGAAAAAATAAAAATCCATCGTAATAAGTAGTAGGATTTTTTTTTTCAATCGTAACAATGTTCAGACGATTTAACAGAACAGTTAGAAGTAGCTATCTCAATTTGCTGAATTTCAGAACATAAATTATGATAAAGAATAGAAAGTTGTTGACGCTTCAACAGCAAAGAATTTAACCTTTTAATAATATAGTGTCAGATTTTCTTATAATTTGAGCAAAAGACATTCACAGACACAAATATTTTACATAAATTGCCATAAATATGCCTTGTACAAGTATATAGTTACTTTTGGGAGAACGTCAAGTTGAACAAACAAAATTGTCTTTAGACATGGCCTCTGCAGGATTAAAGAGAGCAGGATTATTAAGGAATATACTTAGAGTTCCACAAACACATGCTGTAGTGAAGAGGCACAAAAATAATCTGTCAATCACCATAGCAACGTAGTTCCAATCTCGTTCTTCCTGAAAACATATAATTTGATTTGAAACAAACTTATAAATTGTTAAACTTATTGAACAGAAATAAACGAATTAACAATGTCATGTTTGATAGTTGTTGAGGTTTAATGAAGTTCTGCTCTCACATTTAACGTCCAAAATAACTGACCTTACCAATCTCATTTCAGATATAAATAATATTCATACTTAATACAAATATTATCATTTAAGTTCATCAAAAATTAAAAGTATTATTGAATACATAATTATCATCATTACAGTCTCTTGTTTCAATTGTTTTGATGTCTTATGAAATCATGAAACTTATAACATTTACGTAACTTTACTTGTTGTAATTGTTTAATTACAAAAGAAGATAAAAAATATTTTTCCTAATGAAAAACATATTAATGTGGTATTCATAACTTTAATAAATCTATTAAGAATGCACATAATAAACAATATTTTACGTACAGATTTTTGAGAGTCGTCCTTCTTAAGATGCTCTGCAATAAATTTAACACCTTTCAGAGATTCTCGTATTTCAATTGGATATTTGGATAAGTCTTCTTTCTTTTCTGAAGTCGTCCTTTTTCTAATATTTTCATAATCATGATCCCCTGACGTTTTATACATGAAACCACGATCAAGTGTCCCCATTTCAGACTGTAAATGTTCTATGCCTTGTTCTTGTGCATCCTTTGGCTTCTTTTCTAAATTTGGTCTTTTCATCAGAATGAACTTTGGTAAAATCTCTGTAAATATGCGTTTTACCCATCTAGGCATTTTGTGAGTAGCAGGTGATCGGAAATGCACACTCAGTGTATAAACAGTCAGGAATATAGACATTGTTACCACAATCATTGTAAAAAGTAGATATTTGCCTATTAATGGTATAACAATTGACGTTGGAGGGTTAATGTCAGAAAGTAGCAGGAAGAACACAGTCAAAGCCAGTAATATTGAAATAGATAGAGTAATCTTCTCTCCGGAAGCACTTGGTAAATAAAACACTAGAACAGTCAAGCATGATATAGCAATACATGGCATGATTAAATTAATTGTATAAAACAGCGATCTTCTACGAATTGTAATATTAAAGGTAATGTCTGGATATGGCTCAGGACAACATGGGTAAAATTTCTCTTTTCTTCTAGCCGTTACATTTATTATGTCCCATTCAACATTCTGATAGTAGTCACAGAGGTCAACGCCTTTAGGTATTACCATTTGGTTACCCTCCATTATACCTTGTTCTTCCCATACGTGCTGAAGGTCAACCTGAAAGAAGTCGTTAGTGTTTTACCAGTGTTGAATAACTGAGTTCGTGTACAAATCACGTACACAAAAGTTGATTTATGTATGATGTATAAAAATCGTTGTGTAGAATAAAATATAATAGTTCGTGAGCTGTTAAGTATTATAAGTTTTTGTGTTAAATATAACTGTAACATAGAAAATGAAAACCAACACATGTTTATCAATAAAAAGGTGACAAAATATAACAAAGATTATTGTAATCCATTTGACTTTGATAAAGAACTTGATTAAGACTATTATAAATATTTAAGTTTATAGTAACAGCTATATAAATATGGACACAGTTATGTACTAGTTTTATGATTTATAGCATTTTTGCCAAACACAAAAACTTTACTACTTCACAATACAAAATATTCATAAAAATATTAAAAAATTTTACCTGATGACCATCATATGACCAAACGCTAAATTTCATAAAGCATTCTTGTTGATCAAAAGGAAAGAACTCAACGTTGATTGGGCAATAGGTTTTGTAAATAGCTGGCGGGTCCCATTTAATGAGACCTGTATAATACACTGTTGCCTTAGTCAACAAGGTTACAACAAATTCACCATCAGCACTGAAAATGATAAATTTAAAGTGATAAATTCATGACTGAGTTTTTCGTTGGCTTCTAAACATTCTAAATTTGTGCAAATGTTAAGTATTGCAAAGATATTGAATATGTGTGGATACGTGCATAACATCTTTATATCATTTTCAAGACAAACTTAGAAAGTTCAAGAATCATTACAAAACTACAAAATATTTGAAGTCATGTTATAAAATTTATGAACATATTATATACTTGTTATAAAGTAATATATCTGGCCTCCAGAGGTCGTCAGACGGTATGTGCGTCATTTCAATTTCTCCAAATTGCTTTGGATTCCAACTCAATCTTTGATCTGCCCATTCCTGAAAAATATTATTGTCCTTTTACTATATGTAGGTCCAACAGTGCGTGTTCAAATGTAGACTTAACCATTTAAGTTTGAAGATATGGGAGTAATACTAGCATATTGAAATACTTAAATGAAACTGGATCGTAGACTTCGTTATGTTATTGTTTTAACAACAAAACAGATGCCATGAAAGTGAATGAATATGAACCTAAATGTAAGAACCATGTCACAAATTTTGTTACAGACTGAAGATTAATTTTCACATTGCCCTGACTTTTTATTAACATTTGTGTAAAATTGCTCATAGTGTGTTCTACTTTGTAACTCATCTGTTTATTTTACATGTCAATTGACAGTAAATATTATTCAAAAACTGAATTTGTTAAAGTGATCCAATATTTACGCAAGATAATAAATATCATGAATTATTGATAGATTGCTTAATACGGTGCAGAATTATACGATATTATAGGCTACTTACATGTCTCAACCAAAGATTTGTCGTCAGGATCTGATTTTTCTCAGACTGAAAGAAGTATGGCATTTATCGTAAGCATCCAATCAATATAATATCACATAATAAAATATCACATGTTATCAAACGTTTATCTTAAATAGGGAAATAATGTTCCAGATTATGAATCAAAGTTCGATGCATTCACTATAAAAATGTGTACATTTTACATGCATCAAAAATAATAACGAGGGACCACCTCAGATCTCCAGTTTAAAGATTATATTAATATTTTTCTTATTATTGCTATATCACTCTATTCATGAAAAAAAACACCCTGAGAATGAATAAAACAATTTCGGAATTCTTTCGGCTGTTTTTGTTCACTTTGTGTACTAAATATTTCTTAATCTATTCAGCAGTGCATTTTTACAACTTGATCATGATTCAAGACTTGTTTCAATACAGAAGTCGTTTTTAGCCTAGTCTGTTTATAACTAAACAGTGTTCATATATTTTCCATGTGTTACTGATTAACTACAAAAGACTTTTACAACCTTAGGAAATGATATTTACTGCATTTTCAATTATCATTCTTCACTTTACCTGACTTGCTCTCGAAAGATGTTTTGTATGGTGGCAGATAGGTGTGTCTATGTTAAACTCAGATAAATATACGTTTGTTGATTTTATCTTTAGTTTCCCTTTTCATTTATTTATCACGCAACTACAAATGAATTTTGCCTAGAAGAAAGTGGGATTTTAATAATGTATACGTTAATTTGGTTCCTTATCTTCAGCGTTGATACTATGTGTAACATGTAAAAAGACGCAAGTTGAGTATCATTTTTGGAAAACACCCTTTTTCTAACAACACAGGTAAAAAAATCCTTACTGTGTATCGGATATTACATATTTATCAATTAACAATACAAAAGAAGCATTTTTTTTTGAATGAATATATTTTTCAAATGAATGGTGAAATGAACATAACATGTGTTTTTTATGATACAGGCAATATAAATTCATCTTGTCGATAAAGAATTTTCTGTAAATAATATATAATATTACAAATTATGCTGTAAACCTGTTCGCCTCTACATTCACCATTACTTGAAATTTGTTTACTCATTGCAAGAAGGCGTGTAGCTGTAAAATGTTTTCCAATTATTATATAGAATATAATGATTGCACCGGAATTCCATGTTAAAAAACAAGTAGGGTTAAATGCAAGATGAAAGTTTCAATGCCAGTCTTCAGAATCCGCTAGTAAGAAATGTATTTTTAAATTCATTCATAATGGCTAAAATAATGAGGTAAAGAAAATGACACGTGTGAATAAAGATTGACAGGCTCCAAATATTGAATCATGTTTTTATAATAAAAGGCTGGTTGTCAATACGAAATGATGAGATCTACAAAGCTAGAAAAAGAATCTTCAGGAAAAGCATTAATATAACCTTTTGTTAGGATGAAATATTCTAATATTTGATATTCACGCAGTTCTTAATGTTTTGTTGAACATTTAACAAAGCGTGTTCAATATGGCCCGATGCCATGTTAATATGTTGTTATTTTTCCACATAATGGCTTGATTTGAATTTTGAAGAAAATATGTCAGCAATGAACACATAAAATTACTTTAAGATTATTTTGATTAACAGAGATTTTTAGAGAATAAATTACACTTACTTATTCATGGTGTTTATGATGGTCAGTAAAAACAGATAGTGACTGAAATTGCCAAAATAGTATATTTAAAGGTCGATGAACTTGATAGGACTAAACGTTTTGCATTGCTTTTGTTTGTTTGAGTCAGGTTATGAACAGTGCAAGCAAGTGACCATCTATTCTCGTTGACAGGGACTCCAGGAGAACATTGAAACAAAAATAATAATGAAATTAAACTTACAACTGCCAGGATCTGTGACAATCTCATGCCTAACTTTACTGTCAGTTTGCTGTCGTTGAAGTTAACAGTACCATTCAATGTTCTTCCCCAAGGACGAATTAGTTTGTTGTATGCATTTTCCTGTAAATAAGAAGCATTCACATACAATAATTATTTACATTTTTATCTTATGAAAGTTTAAAATGGAATTCTAGCGGATTGTAATAGGTGATTTCGTTAACATAATGTATTCATGATGCGAATCTCCATATTCTCTAATAAGAAACAATGCATAATGTGTGAAAATGATTCAAAAGTTCTCTGTCTTAAACGTTTTTTTTTAATACTAACGACACTATTTAGGTTGCATTATGATATTCATGTTGCCAGTTGTTTCACAGAATGGATTCTTCATGAGCTACTTCTCATGGAAAAGGCACCGTTGCTATCTAGTTAAATATCTTCACAGGGAAAGGGCCTGTGAACGTAAGGGGAATCTTCTGACATAGCTTTACAATGAAACTAATTAACAGACTAAAATTGGGTTCAATATAAAGATTATGAAACAAAGAAATTGTTAACGCACGTACAAATGTGTGGCGGTAGACGAGTAAACGAAGCGAGAAATAATGCAATCTTTATATATGAGCTGGCATACAAATGTAGCATAGAGAAAATAACTCATAAAACATGTGAGTGAGAGAATGAAATTCAGAAGTTAACAGTATATAATAAGAGGAATAAAGCGCCGACATACCTGAAGAAGATAACGCTGAAGCCGTTGCTCTGCGGGGGGTTCACTCCATACAAACATGAACAATGCAAAAAGCACACTTAAAGTATACGTCGATTTATCCATCGTCTTGCTACAAGTTATATTAACGACGACTCAAGATGTTGCATTCAAATCGATGATATTTTCACTTTGTTTTTCAATATGGTTAAAGCTACACTACACTCATGATGTTTAAAAATACACATAAACTACATAGTTCGTTTTTTTCTGCTTCAAATATATTTCACCTCTGTAACGTTTAAAGAGCAAAACACTAATAACTCTTCTTTATGTTTAATATTATTCAGAGTCGCAGATATTTAAAGTCTTTCAAATTTGAGAAGAAATGGCGCCTTATAATTTTATTGAAAAATCCACAACCTGTATCCATTCAGTTTATTTGAAACAAATAGTTATCCATGCTAGAAGAAAAATTCCTGAACAACAGTCATTCAATAAGACGTAATATTTTAGTGTTTTAACCTGGACTACGATATGTTATGTTACCTTTTATTCACTAGCGAACAATTTTCTAGCGCAACAGTTGGTATTTCCGTGAACGATTAAAGATGTGGTATAAAGTGGAGTAATTATTCACGTTTGTGGGAGAACATTTTACGTGCGTCAAAACTGTAAAAAAAATATAATAAAATATCAATAGAAATTTTACTAAAATTAAAAGGCTGTTTTTTTTATTCACAGATTTTAAGAGGGCGAATAAAGGTAAAATATTTATAAAGGAGTTTGCATAAGAGCACCTTAACCTCAGTTTTTTTAAACCTTTTCATAATATTTTAAAAGAGTCGTACAAGGGATGTTAACTATGTAAACAGTTAATCGAACGTAAAAATATAACTATTATTTTTATTTCTTTTAAATAACAGCTTATAACCTTATGAAGGATTAAAATCACTTCTTGTGTTATATTTATCAACGTTTTGTAATTTTTGTTTTATTATAAAAAACAAGAGACAGTTATAGAAATAATCGCATCTGTTAACAGTAAATTAATTTGCTAAAATTCTCCGGGAATGTGTTAAGCTAATCTAAGATTATATTACATGTCCATATATTATATAATCTCGATTTTAAGACCGTTTAAGTCTCATACAGTGTTTATTTCAAAAATATAATTCTAATTCTATAGACACTTGATATAATCTTGTACAATCTGATAGTTGTTTGAAAATGATTAATTGTGAAAATCATTTGTATTCTGATAGAAATGATACAGTAATTTGTAAGATATTTCTAGATAATATATCTGAATAAGACAAGGTAGTGATAGGAATTTATTGCCATTGATTACCATTAATTACCGGGCAACAGATGTTCAGTCAATCACTGTAACAAAAATACCTGTATAGGCTGGCAATACAACGAAATGGATTAAGCGCGAACTTACTCTCCGGTATTTGCTAATAATTACATGTTATAATATTTAATATACACCTTATGCTAAGACAATATAACAGATTACCTTTAGAAACTAACGAAATAACTTAAGCATTGAAAATAAAGAAGTGTGTATTCTCTAAGAAAATAATATTAAGTCGAATTTTCATTTGTATTTGTTTTTACATATTCTCACTAAATTTGATAACAGTGGTGGTCTTCTTTCATTTATTTATGTTTTCAAGAATGCTCTAAGGCATCCTATAAGTATGCAAATGTCCTTATTGATAAAGTGTAGAGGATGATAAATAACCAATAAGATTCACTGTTGCTATAATACATCGCTTTATTATTCATTAAATACAATATAAGACATATCACGTATCGTAAACCACTACTGCACATGTATCTTTCATCAAACCAACAAAAATCAGGAGATTTCATCCGGAAACAATCCAGTTATATAACTTCTTTTGTCAGCAATTTGAAACATTTAGTTACAGGCAAGCTGGGATACACGTATTTACTATAAATAACTTAAAGACTGTACACTGACAATAATATTGATTGTTTGTACATGTACATACGCATAGTTATATCTAAAAAAAATAGCAAAAGGTGCCTCTGTCGAATTGATATTTCAATAAATAAAAAACAGAATAAAATGTTTTCTAAAATAATGTCTAACATTTTAAAAGATTAAGTGATCACTTCGCTCATGTGTCATCTGAAATCAGGAATTTCATAAAACTTATGGCTTTAATCTAGGACGAATCTAGTTTGGTATGATTCATTATTAGGATATTGACAAATCTGTTTTGTCCGATGACATAAAACTCCATATAGCTTACTACCCAAAGCTCAACAAAATAAGTTAATAACTGCCTAGATTTTTATCTTGACAAAACAAGTTTTCCAACTGTAAATCTTAATTCCCGATCTCATTATCAATCATCACGTTTTGCTTATGAATAATAAAAATACATGTACATAGTCTGATGTTTTTATAATGACCATGTCGAATTAAGAATGTTATGATTTTATTATACAATAAAGTATATAGTTCCTTACCAGAATTTCAATTTTAATCGACTTTCAAGAAATTGACTGAATTGAACCACACGAGCAATGATTTATTGTGTCCACATTAAACCACGTATATGGGAGATGAAGCCAAGGGCTGGATGTATGAACACGTCACTTGTATTATTAAGATGAGTCACAGTTAAATATTCAATTTTATCAATGCCATATAATTCTGGAGTGAATCGGAAGGAAATTTGGAACCTGTTTATCACTTATAAATGCCTCTAGTTTGGTGAAATCTACCATAAAAGGAGAAACTAAAAGTTTTAATATTAACTCCCGGAATGCTCAAGTAAATAGTGTTTGTCTGTCTGTCTTTTCAGTTGAATTCAACACAAGTTTGGTAATATCTCGGCGAATGGTCCACCTTACCGGCTTTCCTTGACAACTACCCAGTCATTACCAAATTCTCCGTAAGTGATCGACCGCTAATCTCACAATATTTCTGATCATCGGCGAGAGATAAATGATCATTACATTCCGAAGTGAAATCACGGAGATATTTCGTCTCGTCCAAACCAGTACCATACTGTAATACCCTTATTCTATCTAATATAGCACACGAGCCATCAGGACTCCTAAATGAATCTAATTCCATTGCACAGACTAATTTTATCTTACTAAATTTTCCCAATTACATACTTGGATGTTGAGCTCTTTAGCCAATACTTGGGTATCATATAAAGGCTCTTTACAAAATGTAAGATTGCCTGGATGATGGACAGCATTTAACTACACCAAGCTTAGATTTATCTTGCACTTACAACTACCGTCCAGAAATAGGCTAAAACAAGTGATTTTGCAACAGTTTTAGTTGTTTTTTCGCTTTGAGCATACTTTAGGTATTTGTTTTTTCTATGTCGTTTCATTCAATAAATAATACATACACAATGTAGTAGCTGCAATTTTACCTTTTTCGTTTGTGTTCACTTCTCCCGAGATATTTCCCTTTTTCATGAGTAAAGTATTTTTCCATTCTTAAAACTTAAAGTAGCTTTGTTCATATTTGACGCTTTATCAATTTCTCTAAATTTCAAGTTGTACATGCATTGATGTAAACAGTTGAATTGAAATATGACGAATGACAATATTAGAATTTCACACCAACAACATCCATATATAATTAATTCATGGTCAACCTAATCTTTTATGTTATTACATACATCTATTATCGACCTATTCACATCATTATCTTAAGTATTTCGGTTTCACTTTAACGAACATTTAATATGTACTTAAACAGAGCGTATGGCCATTACGCATTCCATTGTAATAATTATAACAATAACAGTTTTTTCAATAATGGATGCATTTTGCTACTGACTTTTGACCTATACACTTTATACGATGGTGGGTCTGTATGTAAAACATATTAAGGATATTTTCTTTAATAATACAAAAAAGACATATCATGTAAAATCTGCTATAAATGTGTAAAATGATATTGTTTTTAATTAATTGCAACAATGAAGTATCAAACTGTTTTGGGTGGATGTAAAAATTTCAAAAATGGGCACAATTCAATCACAATAGATACGTGTAAATCTTGGAGAAAACCCTTCAGGTCAAGCTTTCATTGACAAAGATGCCATATTTTTACTTATCAAGATAACCCATATTGCTTGGATATCAAATCATACGTTTCTTAAGAATCTCTTGAAAGTTAAACGAGTAACTGCCAAATGAATACCCAATTTGGTTTATCTGACCAGAAGAAGGAGCTAGAAAATTACTGTAAATATTACTTTAACATGGAAGTCGATTTTATTCTAATATTTTGCCTGATGATAAAAGCTGGTTTCACTATTATTTTACGCTAGTTAGTATTAATTTGGCAGACTTATAATGCAAGACCGAGCTCCAGCGCCAGTACCCAAATCCCCAACTGTATTGTGGTACAGGTATGGCAAAGTTTTCAGTTGACAGTAACTTGGACTTGGAAGCCAAACAGAATCACAGGGACCAACAATAACTACTGTGAATAAGGAAATACAAACAGGCCTTTCTGACTTGGTAATTGAAGATTGAAAAACAAGACAGTGATGATAGGGTTATGTTTATACTGGCTCCCAAAGTTTTGTATCCTTAATATAACATTTTCAATCAGTTAATGCCTGAAGCAAGTTCAATGCCCGATTGGAAAATATCAATAACAAAAAGTGCAAATGTGTATAAAAAAATGGAAACCAAAAGCACATACGCACAAATAATCCTAACGATGGCATAAATCGCCAAATTGCTTAGGTATTTGTATGGACGCTTTATTCCAACCATTTTTTTGCACACAATAACTGTGTTCTTTTCTTTTAAATGTTAATATTATAAAAAAAATATGTCACTAAAACGATTTACATGTATATCATTTTACTACGATATATAAGTGTACTATATATGTATCATTAAACGATATATCATTATAAACTGAAATACTTTTTAAAAGGAAACATGGATATAGGATTTCTCAACTATTCGATATCGTACTATCCCAACTATTCGAGAATGTTTTTATTGACGTTTGACATGTCAGTTAATTAGGAAGGCTGGGAAGTTGATTAAGTTCCGGAATGTCATTTATAAATTATGTCTCACGCAACTATGATTGAGTAAGAAAATTACATGCAGTCTTTTTTGTATTGTCGATATTAGGCAAAAGAAATGTTCTACTGAAAGAAAATATCAAACTGGGTTAAGTTAATGGAAACACTATCAATCTGTTGATTTGAATTTAAAAGAGATACGCATTAAACGGAGAATGAACACCGAACTAACTAAATTACAAAACTATTATAATTAAGAATGATAGAAATAAATAGAAGTAAAGTACATTCCCTGTCTAACATTTACAACATGTATTTTAATGGTGTTAGAAGACTATAAAGACGGTGCTGGTTTTCTATCTGACTAGATAATTTCTGGATTCAACATCAAATAAAAGAGCAGTAACTGTTTGCAGCGTCTGATGTGAGATGTATCCGGTGATTAATTAATGATTTTACACACATGATATAGTGTTGTAGGGTCATTTGCAACATGACAACCAATTAATAAAAGGTCCACCAGGTCACATCAATTCTAAGTGTTGCAGTTAAGGAAACGTAGTTTAATA